CAATCAGTCGGCCAGATAGTTTTTTTCCAAATTTCTTGGCAGAGATGAGTGAGTGCCTCTTGTGCTGTCTCACTTTCTTGAAAGATTTCAATTTTTATTCCATCAATACCTGGTGCCTTGTTCTCAAAATGAAGAGAAACAGCTGTAAACTTCTTCAGTACCACCCTCTTAAAAAATAAAGTAACCACAAATTAGTAGTAGAACCATGCCTGTGAAGAACCTGTTCAAATTCTCTGTGTTCATTAAATGTCAAATTAAAGAACAAAAATATTGTGGCTAAGTGGAAGAAAATTTTGTCAATGGTAAATTATTTTCATTCATCCTTTCAGAGACCCCAGTTGTTATTTTAGTTATTATATATTTCTTCATGTTAAATGAGGGAGATTTCATTTTTTCTCACGAATCCAGCTGTTTTGGAAGAAAATTAATTCAACAAATAATTATTGAGTGACTACTATGGGAACAAATTTGAGAAGTACATGTACCTCCCATAGCTTGCACTCTTATAGGGCCATTAACCTAGTAATTGAGATGAAGAATAGTGAATATTACGAGAATCATGGAACAAGATTGTAATTTCAATATTAACTGCAGACAACAGAGTGTTTCTCTACTATCACACAAATAATCTGTGTTGGAAGAAGTACAGCCAGAGTGCCCCTAAAGAGACATCATCTCTCATACTTTAGGCATATTATCAGGAGGGACCAGTCCCTGGGAAAGGACATCATGCCGGGTAAAGTGGATGGTCAGTGAATTAAGATTCTCAGTGAGGTGGATTGACACAGTAACAGCAGCACTGTGCTCAAGCTTAATGATTGTGAGAATGATGCTGGACTGGGCAGTATTTCATTCTACTGTGTGTAGGGTCACTATGAGTCAGCACCTAACAATCTCACTATTCTATTTCGTGACATAAAGTATATACATGAGTGGCTTAAAAACAAAAGTGGAATTGAAAGATAATAGAATTTTTCTGAAAACTTTTTGAAGCTCTTTGTGTGTATGTGTGTAATTAAATAACGTATAATTATTTCCATTATGTATAGCTTACTATATTATTTTACATTAGTAAAACACAATAAGATATGTTTTTTAATACATGTACATAATTGGGAGCACAATGACTCCATAGGAGAAACATTGGAATATAAACTACAAGGTTGGTGCTTCCAGCCCATCAGCTGCTCTGCAGGAGAAAGATGAGGCTTTATGCTCCTGAAAATATTTTAAAAGTATTGGAAACCTGATACAGGGTCGCTGAGTTTGAACCAACTCAATAGCATCCAACAACAAAAATACATTATTATGTATACTTAGATATAGTTGCAATTGATGGTCTGTTTCATAGTCTGTCTGTGGCCTTGTTTTGACTGATGAGTTGGACCTTTTCCATGATCTCTTTCCATAGATGTAGTCAATTTGATTTCTGTGTATTTCATCTAGTGAGGTCCATGAGTATAGTCATCTTTTATATTGTTTAAAAAAGGTATTTGCAATGAATAAGTTTTGGTCTTGCAAAATTCTGTCATGCAATTTCTGACATCATTTCTGTCACCAAGACTATATTTTCCAACTACTCTTTGCTTCAAACCTTTGCAGTCCAATCACTAGTAATTACCAATACATCTTGACAATTACTTACCACTTGACCAATAAATAGAATCAAGATTGTTATTGTTGTTAAGTGCTCTTGAGTTGGTTGCGACTCATAGCGACCCAGTATAGGGTGTCCATGGAGTGGCTGGTGGATTTGAACTGTCAACCTTGTAGTTCAAACGGACCTTGCAGTCCAGTGCTTACCCTACAACACCACATCAGAATATCAAGATAAATGGAGAAAAATTGAAGTTTTCAAAGACTTCATTTTGCTCAGATCAACCATCAATACTATGGAAGCAGCAGCCAAGAAATCAAATTATGTATTGCAATTAGGCAAATCTACTGCACAAAATTTGTTCCTTAAGTATTCAACAGCAAAGATGTCAGTTTGAGGACTAAGGTGTGCCTGACTCAAGCCCTGATATTTTCAATAGCCTCATATGCATGTTGGAGGAGGATATTAAAAGTCACATAGGCTGCCAAATGAACCAACAGATCTGTGGTGGGATAAGTACAGCCAGAGTGCTCCTTGGAGTCCAGGATGGCCAAACTTCATCTCTCATACTTCGGACATATTATCAGGAGGAACCAGTTGCTGGAGAAGGATATCATGTATGGTAAAGTGGAGGGTCAGAGAAAAAGAGGAAGACCCTCAGCAAGATGGATTGGCAAAGTAGCAGCATTATTAAGCTCAAGCATGACAACAATTGTGAGGTTGGCAGTGTTGCATTCTGTTGCTCATAGGATCATTATGAGTTGGTACCAACTCGATGGCACCTAACAACAACATATGCCTGTGAAAGTTGGACAGTGAATAAGGAAGACTGTAGAAAAATGGATACATTTGAGTTATGGAGTTGGAGCAGAATAGAAAAGTACCATGGACTGCCAAAAAAAAAAAAAAAAAATCTGTGTTTGAAGAAGTACAGTCTGGATGGTCAGATTTCGTTGCTCATACTTCATACATATTATCAGGAAGGACCAGTCTCCCTGAAGAAGGATATCATGATTGGTAAAGTAGAGGGTCAGCAAAAATTAGGAAGACCCCCAAAGAGATGGATTGGCATAGTAGCAACAGCAGTGGGCTCAAACATATTAATGATTGTGAGGTTGGCACAGGACAGGGCAGTGTTTTATTCTCTTGTGTATATGATCACTATGAGTCGAAACCAATTTAATGGCATGGAGTCCTTGTATGGTGCTGTGGACTAATGCATCAGACTGTGAAGTCATTTGAACTGCAAGGTTGGTAGTTCAAGCTCACCAGCTGCTCCTTGGAAACCCTATACAGGGTCACTATGGGTTGGAATTGACTCAATGGCTCTTAACAAAAGCAACAACAGATAAAGATAATATTATATACATTGTTTATATCATATATATATCACAACATATCTTTATATATATGTATATGTTGATAATATATATATATATATCTATATATGTGTATATATATCACAACATATATATCTATATATTTTTGTATATGATGTTGATAAGTTCTATCAAGTTAGCTCTGACACACAGTGACTCTGTATACTTTTTCTGAGGTGCAGCTGGTGGATTTGAACTGCTGACCCTGCAGCCTGCAATCTAGTGTTGATCCTACAGTGCCACACCAGGAGAACATATATATGTATATATAATATTTATATTGTAAACATGTATAATATTCTGTATTATATATAATATAATTATCCTCCCCATTGTTCAAACTGATCCCTTTATATAGTATAAAATGTAGTGGTATTGTTGGTATATTTCAACCCCAATTTTACCTTAGCATATTACAATAAATATGTTGAACCACTTCTTTCTAAAAATGTGCTTTAAAAATGTGACGACTCTGATATTTAATCATTGGTCAATACTTGGTTAGACAGAAAAGCTGCTGAAGATCAAATAAGGAAAACTCGTGAACCATTCCATTCTAAGATGAACAACAGACTCATGGGACTCCATTTGTTGTTTCTTATCTACATTTTATGAAACTTTTCCTAGGTTGTATAGGTCATTGAGGAAATAGTATTAAATTCTCAAGTATTATACAAAGATGACTTTGAGTGTCAACCTTATTGTAATCATTCCTTTTAGTATACTTTAACTGTATGCTGACCTGCTTCTGTTTTCATTGTTTTAAACAGATAACATTTCCAATTTTGAGGATTGGCAGATAAATGTTACCTTGAATATCCGCCCATCAACAGGCACTGGTGTTATGCTTGCCTTGGTTTCTGGTAAAACAGTGCCTTTTGCTTTGTCTTTGGTGGACTCTATCTCTGGAAAATTTCAGGTAACCTTTACTCTAAAACTCAATTGATTTTTTTTTTTTTTCATCTTTACAATGGATATAATAGCAACATTTACTCCAAGAGTCATTTTTAAGATTAAAAGAAATAACTCATGTGAAGAATTTGTAATAATTTCTAGCACCTTATTAAGCACATATGATAGTGTACATTATTATAAAAATTTTGCTGTTTTATTTTCAAGGCCTGAACTGAAAAGTAAGGCTAGGAGGGATATATGGATGGTATCTACTACATACAGCTAAGATTCTGCAGACACACACAAATGTTTTAGAGCCATCACAGAATACATAGAGAGCCGCCCTTATCTGGACTTCTTAAAGCATCCTGGGAATTAATCTGTACTAACAAAAATAGAAATGAATATGTTTACAGTTATTCTCATATATTCAATACCTAGTTGAAATGTTTTGTGCTATAGTACCACCACTATGAAAGAAGATATGGTGCTTCCTTAAAAGCTAGCAATATGAATACAGTGCAATCCAGCAAGCCCACTCTTAGGTATATATGCTAGAGAAATAAGAACTGTGACATGAATAGACATATGCACAGCATGTTCATTTTGATATTAGTCACAATATCAAAAAGATGGAAACAACCTAAGGGTCCATCAACAGATAAATGAATAAACTGTGGTACATACGAGGGGGCTCAAAAAAGTTAATAGAAAATTCCATGATCTCTTCATTCCATTTTCTACAGACTTTTGGAAGCCCCCTCACACATATAATGGCATACTGTGCAGTGATGCTGAATAATTATTAATCTGTAAAACATCTTGCAACATGGATGAATCTGGAGGACATTATGCTCAGTGTAACCGATGACCTTGCAGTTCAAACTGACTTTGTAGTCCAGCTCATTAACCCACAGTGCCACACCAGGACTCTTGAGTGAAATTAGTCAGTCACAAAAGGACAAATATTTTATGAGACCACTTTTAAAAAGTCAAGAAAATGTTTTCACATGAAAAGAAGCATTCTTTGGATGGCTACCAAGGGTAAGAGGGACAGGGAGGTTAAATCACTGGCTAGAAGGTGCTAACCTAGGTTAACGGGAAGACGAAATACAGTAAGAGGGATGCTGGAAGTCAAATGATGGAGGTAGTGCAAACATTGGGAGAAGTCCAAGAGTTAAAGACAACAGAGGTAAATACTGTTCTATAAATAATCCTGCAGCAACTGTGATCAACGAGTAGTTTCATGGATAGACAAGCAGGTTGAATGTGTATGGGAGGGAAAGTGGGCGTATACTCACAACTACATGTATGTTTGACAGAGGATATTTGTGCATGGGTATTTATCTTTTCTGGCAATGTGTTCATGAATGTGGTGGAACATTCAGGGGACAAAGTTATGCAAACTTAACTTCTTAGCTATTACCACATAGTTTGAGGAAATTAGTCACTGGGCCTGGGAGCTGAGGACCATCGTCTAAGAGAACAAAAAGATCAATTGTCATAACGTAGTCCACAAAGACAACATCCTATATCCTACTTTGGTGAGTAGCTACTGGGGTTATAAAAGCTCATGAACAAGTGGCCATCTAAAGTTCAACTGCTTATCTCTCCCTCTCTGGAGAAAAGAAGAGTGATGAAAATTGGACATGGAAATAATTAGTCCAAAAGAATAATGGACCACTAGGCAACCCATCTCCATGATGTTGAAATAGAAGTACTAGATGGTACTTGGCAACCACTACTGACTGCTCTGAAAGGGATCACATTAACAGCCACTGAAAACCTTACGAATAGCAGCAAAACATTGGTGGATATAGTGCATTAGGCAATTCTGCTGCACAAGACCTCTTGAAAGTGTTCAGGAGCAAAGATAACAGTTTGAGGAGAAAGATGTGCTTGACCTAAGCTATGGTATTTTCAATAGCCTCATATACATGTAAAAGCTGGACAATGAATAGGGAAGACCATAGAAGAATAGATGCATATGAGTTATGCTGTTGGAGAAGAATATTAAAAGTACTGTAGACTACCAAAAGAATAAACAAATCTGCCTTGTAAGAAGTATGACCAGAATGCTCCCTAGAAGCCAAGATGGCGAGACTTCATCTCTCATACTTTGGACATATTATCAGGAGGGACTAGTCCCTGGAGAAGAACATCATGACTGGTAAAGTGGAAGGTCAGTGAAAAAGAGGAATACCCTCAGCAAGATGGATTAGCACAGTAATAGCAGCAAAAGACTCAACATAACAACAATTGTGAGGATCAAGTAGGACCAGGCAGTGTTTCATTCTGTTTGCATAAGGTCATTATGAGTTGGGACTGACTCAACAGCACCTAACAACAACAACAAAGTATAATAAATACTATAGAATATACAATCCTGAAACAACAGTAGTAAGAACCAGTAATTTGAGATTGGATACATAAGTATATTGTTGTTGTTGTTGTTGTTAAGTGCCATCGGGTCGGGTCCGACCCATAGCGACCCTGTACAGGGTTTCCGAGGGTGTATAAGTATATATGTATACTAAATGTGTGTGGGATTTAATATGGGACTACACCCAAATACATATCTTACAGATACAATTGTGGATTTTTCTACATACATATTTGTATGTATTACATCTATATTCATAAATATAATAGAGCATGTAAGGGGTACAACTATGGAAAATTCGTAAACAGAACCGAACATCTGACATAAACCACAGCCTGAGAGTAGAAGAACTGATGGTACCTAGCTACCACTACCAACCATTCTGACCAAGGATACATTCGAATGTTTAGAATGGGAGAAAAATGTAGAACAAAACTCAAGTTCTTAAAAAAACAACAACAACCAGACTAGACTTACTGGTCGGAAAGAGACTAGAGGAACTCCATGACTATTGCTACATGGAAATTGTCACTCCTAGAGGCCACCTCTCTATCAAATAATTACTGGCTTGTAAAATAAACAACAGTGTCCATAAGGAATGTGCTCCTTAGGACAATTCACTCTGAATACCAAAAGGGCAACATTTGCCCAAAAATTACGATTAGAAGTCAAGTAAGCAGTAGTCAAGGAAACTTGACAAATGAAAATGGGAAACCCAGGGTGGAAAGGGGAAAATCACCGACACATTATGGAAATTTGACCAATGTCAGGGAATAATTTGTGTATGAATTATTGGATGAAAAATTAATTTTCTGTGTAAATTTTCACCTAAAGCATAGTAAAATGTTTTTAAAAAATTGTGCTTTTCTTTGCATTCGGTATTTTCTTCTCAGGAATAGATGAGTAAAGGCAAGAGAAAATGATGAGTCTACTTGGCTTCATGTTAGCAACTCTAATTTGAAATTAGAAGCACAAATAGGAGAAACTATTGGATAAGAGGAAGCATGAATGTTAACAGAGGATCTGTATTATTCAGACTCTTATTAGGGCTTAATAGTTCTGCCAATGTGTCATCCACAGGGAATTCCAGCAAGTTACAGCAACAAGCTTGTGCTTATGCCAATGTTGGTTTATGTACTCCTTTCAGAAGGAGGCCTGTAACAATTCAGTAATGCCTGTGGTAATAATTAAGGGGTGGTGTTTGCACTTCACAGAATAGTTGGGATGGAGAACCATAAGCAATCTACAAAGGTCTTATTACCTCAAAACACATAGGATGTTATGCATGCTATGTTTTTGATTGTTGTCTCCATGACATATTTTTTTGCATGTCAAATTCTCTTCTCAAAATCTATGTACAATATTTTATAGCACTATTCCACACACATTGGATGTTGTCTCAACTGACCACCTTTGATGGATATGTTGTTGTTAAGTGCTGTTGAGTCAGTTCTAACTCATAGTGACCATGTATAGGGTTCTGAGGAGCAGCTGGTGAGTTTGAACCATTGACCTTGTGGTTCAAACCAACTTTGTAGTCCAGCACATTAACCTGCTGTACCAAGCCAGGACATGTACACAAGTAACAGATTTTCCCAAATAAACTTATATTTATGAAGCATAATTAAAAAAAAAAAATTAACATAAGTATCTAAGCGTCCTGAATATGCACTTCAGATAATCTTTCTACCATCTTAGAAACACCACAAAGAGGAGGTTAGCAATGCTGGTCTCCCTAGTTTCAATTTTGCTTCTTCTCTCTTACTGTTTTAGTTTTCTCTGCACAAATATAAGTTATGTGTATAGATTATCTTCAACAAGTTGAGTAGAAGCCATATCAACAATTTGAAAGGGTTGTAAAAAAATTAATACATTTTCCATTTTTGAGAAATTCTGGCAAATCCTTTGTAATTTATTACTAGGAATGTCTAGTTTTTTTCGCTTAGGGCTGTTTCACTGACTTTGTTCTGTATCTACAGGATTGCTTGCATCGCACAAACGATATTTTCAGGCATTTCTTATGTGTACTTACTAAACAACTTAATGTTTTCCAAGCCTTTTCCTCCAAACGGAACTGATCTGCTCTTTTTCATTTTTCATATGTCTGTTCTGAAATTAGGAAGTTTATGGTTATAAAGTTCAAAAGCTTCACAGACAGAAAAATCATACTTTAGATGTACTTTATGTTTCATGTTTGTCAAACAGCTCTGTTGGTTTATTTGTTTTTCAGAAGCTATCATATATTTAAATCATAGCCAACTATGGATTTGTAAACCTAATCTATACTCTTAAATGATTAATAATACTGAGTTTTTATTTAATCTTAGAGACTATGAAACTTTTTTTTTCTTTATTGAAATTCTAGCTGTGGCAGCGTAGTGGTTACGAATCGGGCTGCTAACCTCAAGGTTGGCATTTCAAAACTACCAGCTGTTCCGCGGGAGAAAGATGAGGCTTTCTGCTTCCGTAAAGATTTATAGCCTCAGAAGCCCTGTACAGGGTCGCTATGAGTCGGAACCAACTCCACGGCACATAACAACAACAACAACATCACTCTTAAATGATATTATTATTTGTTGTGCTTAAGTGCTGTTGATTTAAGTTCTGTCTTATAGCAACCCTATAGAAGGTTTCTAAGAAGTGACTGGTAGGTTTGAACCACCAACCTTGTGGTTAGCAGTCCAGTGTTTATCCTATAGTGACACATCAGGACTCCAAACTAATTTTGACTGGCTGACTGTGTGCCATCGAATCAGTTTCGACTCACAGTGTTCCTGTATAGGGTTTCAGAGGCTATAAATCTTTATGGGAGCTGAAAACCTTTTCTCCTCCAGAGTGGCTGGTGGTTTCAAACTGCTGACCTTGCAGTTAATAGCCCAGTGGGTAACCCACTACACTACCAGAGCTCTTGATTTTACTGTTAGTACTTGCATATATTGGTCTTTGCTCTGTTTCTCAGGATGTCCTGGTGTCTGTTGAAAGTACAGTGATATCTCGAATAGAAGCAGTAGATTTGTGTTCCAGTCAACAATCCCATCTGGGATTCAAAGTCAACAGACACAACCTGGAGCTGTGGAATACATTTGAAAAAGATGCCACCTTCTCTGAAGATCTTCAAAGTCAACTTGCCATCTTGGACATAGCAATGAAAGGACCAGTGGTCACTTATCTGGGTGGCATTCCAGGTATCTGCTTAATTTTTCTTCAGTTCTAAAGTATATTTTAAATAAAATTTGTAGCACTTTCATTATGTAATTTTACTACAATGGCATCTTCTAGGAACATAAAATTTCAGTATCCATTATTATTTTTCTGAGAGCTTGTACTGAATGTTTTACTTATACATTTCTGTTAGTTTGTTGTATTTGTTTCTTTAGCATGAACTTAAACTGACCAAATTTTGCCATATTCATCTAGTCTAACCAGAAGAGATCTATTATTTCATCTCATCCTCACCATAACTTTGTGAGTTCAATATTGATTTTTCATTATTAACCCATATTTCTTAAGAACCTATGTGTTAGGCCCTCTGGACACCCACTCATCCACCACTGTTGAGTTGATTCCAGCTCACACCAGAGTAGAAATGTTCCATAGGGTTTCCAAGGCTGTAAATCAGATACAAACTGCCTCATCTTTCTCCTGTGGAACAACTGTTAAGTTCAAAGTGCTGATATTTTGGTTAGCAGCCTAAAGTTATGCCACCAGGATTCCTTCTTTTGCATACAGTAGTAAACAAATAGATATTGCTCCTGTCATTAAAATAGTTACAGTCCAGTGAGAGAGGCAGACGTTAAACCATGGATTTTTAAAAAATCTAAATTATTAAAATTGTGTTTACTCCTATGAAGGAGATGTGTGAATTGCTTTGAGATCCTGAGACTAGGGACTTGACCTGCTCAGTAAGGTCCAGGAAAGGCTCTAAAGAAATGAGGAAGATATAATAAGTCTTATATCTGAAAGATTAATAAGGTGATGAGATGAATATTTAGGTTCATATACAAATAAAATGTGGCAGAGTGGAAAGGAGCTGGCACACTTGAGGAACTCATAGAAGATTAGCATGGTAAAAGCAAAGTGAGCAAGGGGATGGTAGTACAGGATGAAGCTGTAAACTGGGTGGATGAGGAGTTTGTGAATTGGGTCATGGTTTTATAATAAGAGTTATGGGAATCATTGAAAAATTTTAGACAATGATGTGAAAATAGTAATATTACAGCTTTAAAAAATCCACTCTGCACAATGGGTGGAGATGAATCAGTGAGAAGAAAAAGTAGATGCAGTTGAGATGAGTTTATATTCTGTTAAAGTAGACCAGGTGAAGAAGCAATAATAATAACTGCAGTGACAACAACTATACAAGTCTTAGCATTGTCTTCAAATGTGTCAGCTCATTGATTTGCCAAATAATTCTGTGATAGGTACTATTATTCTCTCCATTATACAGATAAGAATGCTGAAGTGCTTGGACTAGATTGGTAGCAATGTATGGTATATATGTTAGGAAGTATAATTACAGTTCAAATGAATTAATTATATACTGAATACCTACTGTATTATTTGCAAATTAGTTGATTGTAATTGTAGGATATCCAACAATGAAAGAGCTCAAAATATCAAAATTCTAGCAGCAATAGAACTGAGGGCTAACTGCAGGCAAGATGTGTTTAGAAAAAGAATGAAGAAAAATGGAAGAAGGCTGAAAAGTGAAATATTTAGAGTATAAATTATGGGCTGGATATTATTCTATTAATATCAAAATTGCATATTAGGAATTGTTGTTGTTGTATTAAATCAAAACTATGTGTTGTAAATCCTAACGTGTGACTATAATCCTTTTTTGGAATGGGTTTTCTTCGTTATGTTAATGAGACTCATATTGATCCTTTTTAGAGTTTCCAAGGAGCAGTTGGGGGTTTGGCACTGTGGAAAAAGCTGCTCAATGCTTATCCTATAGTGCCAGTTAGCAGAGGAAATTGATGATCCTGAATATTCCATAACAGTGCCATAATCAATGATAGTCATCCAGAAATTGAAAGGGCTTCTTAAAAATGCTATGAGTGCATAGAAGAGTCTGAACTTTATTTACTCTGTTAACTTAGAGGTGAAAATTTGCATCAGACATTTTTTGCATAAGATGCTGAAGAGGAAGAATAAGGAAGGACTGACGAATGCAAATTGTGCATTAAAATTCATGGAAAGGAGATGTCAAAAAAAGAGGAAGCAAGCAGAGGGGCAGATGTTTTTAAGATGAGCCATCATTCTTAGGAATTCAAGGGTGTTGCTTAAGTATTAACTTTCAAAAAGAATAAAAGTTTAGAAAGATCCTAAGTCCCTAAAATGAGTCTAAACGATGCACTGAGGAATGATTAAAATTATTCTTTTTTAAAACATCAAATATTACCTAAAAGTGAATTCCCTATCCTGATCTACTATTATGTGCTCAGCAGAATATTTCTTTGGAGCCCTGGTAACATGGTGGTTACACATTGGGCTGCTAACTGAAAAATGAGCAGTTTGAATCTGCTAGTTGCACTGTGGGAGAAAGTTGAGACTTTCTATTTCCGTAAAGATTTATAGCCTCGGAAACTCTATTCGGGGCTGGTAAGAGTAGGAACCAACTCCATGGCACACCACCACCACCACTTTTATTCCAGCAATAATAAAAGATATTTGAGATAACTGAGTAACTATAATTTGGAGTTGAAAAAGTAATTTGATAATGATTAAACTACTGTTCAAATCTGAAGATGAGATAACAAAATACAATATCACAGATAAGAATAAGATGTTTTCTTTTCAGGAATGTTGGTTTATCTTAACTTTGGGTGGAAATCAGAGTGCTATGATATGGAATTGTGCCACTCAAAACTATGTGTTATAATTCCTATTTTGGAATGGGTTTTCTTTATTATGTTAATTAGAAAGTATCAGTTAGGACATGTCTTAATTCTCTTTCTTTTGAGGTATAAAAAGATCAGGTGGTGCTGTGGGTTAGGCAAGGTCAAAGGTTTCTCCGAGGGAGGAAGAAAGATGAGGCTGTCTGCCCCAGTAAAGGTTTACAGTGTCAGAAACCCTATATTCAGTCACTTTAAGTCAGAATCAACTTGACAGCAGTGGATTTTAAGCAAGCAAGCAAGCACAGAGGAAAGATACATGGCACAAGATTGCCAAGAACACCTTTAGGCTGGTGCCCTGAATTGTGACTTCTAGCTTCCTAAACTGTGAAAAAATTTAATTTGCTCTCATGAAAGTCACTCACCTATATTATTTCTATTATAGCAGCACTTGAGAACTAAGACTTAGGATATACTCAATATACTATCAAGCCCAGTGCCTTATACATTGTTGTTGGCTTCTATTGAGTTGACCCCCCATTTCAAGGAAAACCTGAGATTAGACTGTTGTTGTTACCTACAGGGTTTTCATTGTCGGAATTGTGGAAGTATACTGTCAGGACTTTCTTCTAGTCCTTCTTATTCTGGAAGCTTTGCTGAAATATATTCAGCATCATAGCATCATGCAAACCTCTACTGACTGACGTGGTAGCTGTGCCTGAGAATCAAATCCTAGGCTCCTCATGGAAGAGGAAAATTCCGCCATGGAACCACCACAGTCTCTATTCTCTTAATGCTCTCAGTGGCTAACTCAAAGTTTGGAAGTTCTAGTCTACTCCGATGCGCCTGGGAGAAAGACCTGGTGATCTATTTCCAAAAGCACTCAGGGGTTGCTATGAGTTGGAACCAAGTAGGAGTCATTTTATAAATGTTTATTGGGTAGAATTGTATTACTGACTTTTCCTTCAGGATTAGAATTTGATTAGAAATGGAAAGTCTGGATGATTTCCCTAACTATAAGCATATAAGATGCTAAAAATCTTGAGCTAAAAGTCTAATGTTCTGTTTCTACAGATGTTCCCTTCAGTGCTACGCCTGTGAATGCCTTTTACAATGGCTGCATGGAAGTGAATATTAATGGTGTTCAGCTGGATTTGGATGAAGCCATTTCTAAACAGAATGATATCAGAGCTCACTCCTGTCCGTCAGTTTTGAAGAACACAGACAATCATTAAGGCATCTTCTTCTGCTGATAATATCTCTTTTCTGTGTGAAATTACACTTATGTTTCAATAGCAGCTGAAGGATTTTACTGTGATGTACAGAACTTGATTATTTGTGGCACGTAGACTCCTGGAATTTAAAAAATATCCTGTAAAATATGTGATACAAATCGCATTAACATATTCTTACCTTTGTTGCTATCTAGACATTGAATAATGCAACATATAAAACTTTTAAGTTTGAATCTTTTGCTGCAGATGATTTTGGTTCATTAGTGTATGTGTAAGAAAAATTTAATTTTGTTATCAAGAATTAATGTTTAAATACCAATGTTTCTTAGTAGGCAAGTTGATAAACTCAAACAAAAGTGCTTGTGACTAAATACTATTTTTGTTTGTTTTGTTTTGTTTTCCCTCATGGAGTCAGAAGGGGAGTGACCTATTTATTCTGAATTGAATACAAGTCTTTAAAGTTTTATTCTAAAACACTTCCTCAGGGAGCACAACTTTGGTTCCATCTTCCTCTTATCTGGATTCAAATTGAAACAGTATTTTCACTAAGTTAGGAAATAAGTGGGACACTGTTTTCTGAGAGCATCACATGAATACTGTTGTTGTTGTTGTTAAGTGCTGTCGAGTTGATTCTGACCCATAGAGACCCTATTTAGGGTTTCTAAAGAGCAGCTGGTGAGCTTGAACCACCGACCTTACAGTTTAAATGACTTTGCAGTCTGACTTATTAGCCCACAGCACCACTCCAGAACTCCAAATGAATACTACTGATTGGTAATTTAATTTTATGAAGAAAAGAAATGAATTGTGTTGGAATGGGTACTGAAAACTGGGATAGGTACATCCTTGAACTTTTGGATTTACTAAAGGACAGGAGAATCAACAATGTGGAAGACAAAATTCACAGTTTTCCTTGAATTCAACCTCAATTGTCAGAGTGGGATACCAGAATATAGTTATTGCTGGGCAAAAGAACTATGAAAACTAAAACAGATTCTAAAAACTAGCTTCCCATAGAGTGACAGTTAATACTGAGTCTTTATAATTGAACAAGTAAGAAGGTAAGATTGCCACATACTTGTTGGTATTACATTATAAACAGCAGTTTTATTTTATCACTGATAAACCCACCATTTATATCAGGTGTGCATCAGATATTTTATTGATAGTCTTAGAAAATGAACATTTTTTTCCCAATGCAGGTATTTTCCATCAAGTAAAATAGAATAAATTAATGTATATTTGAAAAATATATACAAATAGTATCTTTATTCTGTCAACTTTTTGAACAGAACATGAAGTACTTGCAGCACAATAGTCCTTCAGCTAAAAGATAGATAAAGTTCAAACATTGTAGTAACCTGGAGCTCAGATAGGAAAGAAAAACAGAAGCAATATGTATTATGTGCCTGACACATGTCATAAAGTATGCTAAATCACCCTTTTGAATGTAATTTCCCCCCAGTTAATTTCATTTCTATGAGTGATATAATTATTAACTGTTTATGTAGTATAAAAAAAAGAAACCAAGGAAAGAGGAAAACTGAATGTATAAGGAAACAAAGCTGGGGAGGGGGATAGGGAGAGAAAAGGGAAAAAAAAAAAAACATTGCTTTTGGGGAGGAAAACTCTGGTTCTTAATTATACACAGATACAATTCTGTTATATGGATCAATTCCACATTTTTCATCAGAAGCAAAAACCTACAGGCATATTCTAGTGGTATTCCTAGAAATTCCGAAGATTCATTTATAAATCTCACCTAACTGCCTTTGAGCTGTGTGCACATATGGCCTAGGGAAGGAGAGAGAAGGTCTAGTCCTGCAGCTAAGAATCTTTGATTTGATCTTTGAATTTTGACCTTTGCCAAGAAAGATAGACTTCTACTTTTAAAGAATTGCTAGAGAGGAATGATTTTATAAAGAGCAAGTGGCATATTTAGTTTTATTTAGCTTTATGTGGTAGACCACATCCAAGTGATTCAGTACATTAGAATCTCCCAGAACTGAGTATTTACAGAACTAGGTGATGGATTTGTAAGAACTATTTTGGTATGAGAACAGGGTCAGTGACTTCCAATTACTTATCTAATTGTAATTTTAGGCTCAGTCCCTAGGTGTGAACTGAAAAAGTACTTTCAATTTTCTTTTCATTCTAGAACTTGGATGATTACTAGAGGGAGGACTTATTTTTTGTGTTTGCTTAATAATCCTATTTCTTTTATAAATTCTTTGGCTTTTAATTGTAGAGATTAAAAGCCTCTACAATTAAAAGCCGAAGGAATTTATAAAACAAACTGAACAAGTTCAGAAAAATGACTGGAATATTTGAAATTATTCCATTCTAATTTCTCAGTAGTGCTACTAGTAAGTGGTACCAGGATAATGGGATTGGAAGAACATGGGGTGACCAGACTTTTGGGTAAAAGTATGATTAATTCCTAGTTTATTCATTCATTCAGCAAAAATATTTTTAAAGCACACAGTCTTTGTACATAGATAGTAGAATGTTTGAATGTCTAGGTCAAACTGAGTAGAAATTGTCAATACTTAGGTTGGCCTTGGGTAATACTCAGGCTCCTATTCCTTTGAGCTTCAAAGAAACTCTTGTCAAGTTTTTCTGAAAAAACAAAAACCAAAAAAACTGATGCAACAAGACTTTTGAACATGGCTCTTGTATTTGTGTCATTTGCTCCTATTTAGTGAGACTGTTTTGTTTGAGATCTTGAGCTTGAATTACTTGTTACACCAGATTCCAGCTTTCATGGAAAACTTATGGTGGTTAGGGGTCCATTCAGTTTTACCGTTCCTATCTTCTATCAATCTTGCATTTATGCTTGAATGTGAAATTGAGGGGCAATTACAAATATGAGGGGGCTTCCAAAAGTTCATGGAAAAATTCGATCATCTTTTAATTGAAAATTTTCTATGAAATTTTTGAAGCTCCCTTACAGAGGAGAACTGATACATGGGGGAGTTTGGAACTAATAGGAGACCAATGAGGTTAGGAAACATTTTCTGAGCCACAGTTAACTCCTTCTGCCATGGATCTGAGAGTGTTAAATCATGTTAGGATTACCTTGTGGATAAGAATGACACTAAATGAATTTAAGACTTATTTTTGCTAATCCATTTCCCAGATAAAATTTTACTTCTATAAGAGAGAAGCAGAGTCCAATACATTTTACAATTTACTAGTGAAATCTTCTTTCTTGCTAAAATCTCATTCTGAGAAAGATAAATCTTATTCTCTAACAGCAGTGTCTCTTGTCTCCAGATAGAAAAATCACTTGGCACATCTTATCCTTCATCAAGAGAGTGGGTCAATATTTAAGTCATATCGGAAAACTCTTTGGGCACTACAGATAATAGTGCTAAAATTTTCAGATGTCACTTAAATATTGACCCATTCTCTTAATGAAGGATTTAAATATATAAATAAAAATAAAAGTGAAAATAAGTCAGTATATATATGTGTGTGTATGTGTGTAGTTGTAGGATAAACACTGAACTGCTAACTGAAAGTTCAGTGGTTCAAACCCACCAGTCACTCCTCGAAACTCTATGGAGGGTCACTATGAGTAGAACTGACTTGAAAGCACTTAAGAGCAACAGCAACAACATTGAAGTGTGCTCAAGTGTTGCTAGTATCTACTTAAAATTTGAACTCAATGCAACAAAAACAGGAGAAAAACATCCATGTACAAATGGGCCCAAGCCCATACTCATGTTGTTCCCGTGTCAACTGTAAATTGCATGGAGTTTTGACTCTGTAAGAGGTTGGCATCCTTAATCCATACAGTGGATCAACTATATAAACATATAAGGGGATTCAAAAAGTTTGTGGGAAAAATGGAATTTTCCAGGAGCTTTTTGAATTCATCTTTGTGTGTGTGTGTGTGTGTGTATGCGTTTGTACATATATTTGAAACAAAGCCATATTGAACACTGGGGCTGAGACTGGAGCCTCCAGGGATGATTGTAGTCCTGAGTCAACTCAGTAGCCATGGAGTAGCCAGAGTGGACAATATAGCTGGATACTCTGGAAAACAGTCTTAGCTTGTCTTACATCTCCAAGCTAAGCATTTCTAGACTTGAAAAGCTTTTTGTGAAGGGAGAGCAGAAATGAGAGGAAAATAGTAATGCAAAAGGAAAACAATAGGTATAAAAGAGAGGGTAGTGAAAGAGATAGAGACAAGGATGTCAAAGAGAAGCATAGAGTACAGATCCCATGCTTTAATTCAGGACTTTACACTCATCATATATTCTTGCTCGTTATCTCAGCACTTAGTAAATGTTATAGTACTAGAATGAATAAATTCAATGTCTAGCTCTACTAACTTTTTATGTAATTCAGATTCAGTTGATAATTTTCAAAACTGTGTGGTGGCATTGTACTTCATCTAATTTCAGGAATGGGGAGCAGGGGAAGAGAATCTAGAGAAACAAACATCGGCCCAAAGTGGTTTCCTTCACTCTTAAACCCGCCCTTTATTTTTTCCTTTTCATCAATTCTGACATCAGCTCTCCCTTTCACAACACTCTCTTTGTCTCTTAGGGATTTGATAATCAGTTGCAATGACCACACAGACTCAAAGACCATGCTTAAAGTTAAAAGTGATTTATTTAAGGAACTAATAGTACAACTTCAAATTAGTCCAACAGGCTAAATCTTAAGATCAGTATCAGGAAACATGTAGATCTGGAAAGCTCCCCTGTATTGTAGAGCACATCGTTTTCTTCTGTGCAGGGCAGCCCTCTCTGTTCCTCTTGGCTATGCACACAATCAGACCTTTTTCTCTGATGTGCATGCCCCCTGGGAACAAGCCTTCTCTTGGACCCATTGGAAATTCTCTTCTTTGCTCTTGGCATTCTGTCCTGCTTGGACAAGTGTTACAAAGCTCTTCAGACTCACTAACAAGTGCCCAGAGGAACCCAATCCACCATGAGGCCTTCTGTTTAAAAGCTCTCAGCTCTCTGACTCCATGGTCAAGGAAGCACACCAAAGCTGCCTCACTCTGTGGACTGGGAAGCCTATTCTACCCCATGATGTGCCAATCT